GTCGGCAGGATTTCAGCGACTTCCATGACTCCTGCAATCGTGTGCAATTATGGCAATGTTAGGAACTTATTTGATTCAAATATAATTAATAAAAATACAGTAACATGGAAAGATTTTAAAGGTATGAATGGAGGATTTCCTGTATAAATGAATGCAACAAGTATGTCAAATGTGCTATAAATAGACGAGACTACCTTCAGTATATATTCAAAGGAATTATAGGTAGCAGTGTAGTTTATGCCTAATTAAGTCAAGCCTGATAATAATCCCAATAAATGCTAACACATTCAAAACATATTTTAAAAAACGAACTAATTAAATTCTATTCCATGGTTATTACAATATTTTCATACGCATTTGAGTTTAAACTTCAATTCTTAGAAATAACATAACCGATATTGTTGCTATCGGTATATCTTCGTTAAAATCACAAAAGCTTTATGATTTACAAGAACACTTATGGCTTGCCAAGGGTGCAGATTAAACTTTTAAAATTCATTTGATATATAAGCTGAGAGTTGATATGTTGTCTTCAACATTTCCTCCATCTCGAGAAATACTATCTGATGATTGTCTTGACATATTTGGTGGTCTTGAATGAGACACGTACAAAAAATTCTTCTTTTGAGACTTTATCGGACCGTTTACCTACTTTACAATGTACATGTAACAATGTTGTGAATAGCAATTCGTCCAAGTATGTGTGGCTATTTACAATGCGTGCAGAATTTCTATTTTCCTCAAAACATGCCAGTGTTTTCGTGCTGTAGTTTTCCGGTCATCTGATATTTATCGTAAATAGTCCCTTTCCGCATACTATATTTATGTCATTCTTCGCTTTACAACATACTCTAAAAATACCCCTTTTTTCTTGTGTTTTACAAAAAAAAGCACACGGTGACTTTAAAAAGTTATCAGATTGTTTAAAAGGTTCCATGTTTAGAGCATAATCTTTCCTTCTACATAAGATGCATATTTTACAAATTTGTGAGAATTTTACAAGTATACATGTAATCAAACATAATTTGTGCTCCATATCAAGATTTACTTTTGCAATTTAATGTCTTTCAAAATAAACAAAAACCTGTGACAAGAACCTTTTATCCAGAGTAAATAAATTTCTAACAAAGAAAAAAGGTTGATAATATTGTTTAATATAGTTTATTTCATATCTGGATATTAAAACTAAAAAAAGACGTTAATGGTAATCTAACAACAAAGCTTTATGATAAACGTGATGACTTTAACTTTGCAATCGTCAATTTCCCTTACTTATGCAGTAATATACCCTTATCACCTGCATATGGGATGTGTATCTCTCAGATGATTCGATACGCAAGAGCATGCTCTATGAACAATATAAAACAGGGTACGTTATTGACAAACCTTTATCATGAAGGTTGTTCAAGGTGTGCTAAATATACCAATATGCCAAATTTCTTTTAATTTTATGTCCCGAAAATAACTTCTTGGCTACTCACTACAACTGAGCTAATCCAGAATGAACGCGCTGGGGAAAAACGACATATATGGTAGTGGGCTTAATACCATTTTATAATTAAGCAATCATTTTCTGTGCTACAATTTCAAGTGTAAAAAAAATATAACATACCATAAATTTTGAAAGTGTTTAAAGGTCAATGAATTTTACGGTCTGAGTCCATGACCAGTATGACCAGTCCAGTGGGCCATTCCTCTTTAGTTTTCTACTCGACGACCATACAGGAATTAAAAAGGTGGGAAATATAAAATTGCATGAATAATATATATATATATATATATATATATATATATATATATATATATATATATATATATATATATATATATATATATATATATATATATATATATATATATATATATATATATTACCTCGGTTTCAGCCTCAGTCACCATGGTTGATGGGACAATGTAGTTTTTGTTGCCTGTGGGTTATTATATCAATTTTGATTAAGTGGTAATATACTTTGCATGACAATGCATGACAATAATCAAAAAAGGTAAGAATAATTGAGTGATTCAATATACTGATAACACACTTAATCCCTAGTTTACTTTTCCATCCATGCATCTGCATTTGTGACCGAAGTTCTTTTCTAAAAATTTAGTCTGTGACATATCTAAAAAACAAGCCAACAACGTTCTTTTTTATGAAATACATTGATTTGAATGCAGGGTTAAAATTTTTATAACCGAAATGTTGAAATTTTAACCACAAAATGACAAAATGCGTTTTATAACAGTTATGAATTAAAATGCATAAAAATTCAGGTACATTGTAACACTACATATTTCAAAATATCATAAGAAATAAAAATGCAATGAAGTTTTGTAATGATTGGATCAACCCATGCTACAAAATAAATAACCTTCTGTGGAAAGCATAATAGGACAGAAATAAACTAAAGAAACAAACAGTAGAAAATATAAAAGAACCTACAACAGGATATAACAGGCACCAAAGATTAAAACATCAAATTTTAGGGAAGAAAATAATACAATATCTAGGTTATGCATATAATTGATGTGATGAGATCAAAATTTCTTTTTCTTAGATACATATATTGATTCAAACGTAGGAAATTACAAAAAATATAAACTCTTTTTAATGACCATGCATTTGATTGAATTTCTCTGACCGCTGACAGTGTTTATTTTTATAGAAAAAAAGTGTATCTTTTTTACCTTAACTGCAAACAGACTTTAGTGCCTTATCGTATATGTTTACTCATCAAACACAAAGGTATACTTGGAATTCATTTGACCTAGACTTTAACAAGGTTTCTTTGCAATGTATATATTTGTTCTTAATGTAAAAAAAATATCGTGCAATTTATTGCTATTAAATCCTATACCCCTTTATATGCTATACATAAGGAAGGTTTGTTTTTTATGCCCCCGTAATCGAAGATTCGGGGACACATAATTTTGGTCTGTCTGTCCGTCCATCTATTTTTCAGCAAAAACTTAAACTTTGCCCATAACATTTGAGTGGTTGGTGCTAGAGCTTTCATATTTCACTGTATTCATTGTGACAAAACCTTTCTTTGGGAATCAACATATTTGACATTTTGACCTTGATCTTAAAGTTTGACCTAAATTTGCAAACTTTAACCTTGGCCATAACTTTCGAACTGTTTGTGCTAGGTCTTCTGTATTTTACGTTTATTTCATGTGAACAAACCTTTCTTTGCGTACCAACATTTTTCCTTTTGACCTTTGATTTTGAACTTTTTGAAACACTTTAACCTTGGCCATAATTGTTGAAGGGTGGGTGTTAGGCTTTCATATTTCACATGCCTATTCCTCCTGACAAGACCTTTATTTGAGTATCAACATTTTTAAACTCACTACCTTTACTTTGGAGTTTTACCTACATTTGAAAACTCTAACCTTGTACTTGAGCTGCCATTCGGGGGCATCAGTGCTTCAAAAACACATCTTGTGTATAATATTTTTGAAAATTCTCTTCTGACATATTTTGATCCTTTCAGGTTGACTAATGTTGACCCATTATAGGTTGCCGAGTTGCTTGGCATATATGTTTATTGGTGTAATTCTACCTGTGCGCATTTGATATGGACTCAGGAATGTGGACGCACTTGAAAATTTAATTTTTTTACGGATGATCTTTTTTTACTGATATTTTTGTAATCAAATGATTCCTCTTCTCTTAATGATATAGGAGGAAAAATCATTCTCTTGATATTTTGTTTCGATTTTCTAAAATGTCACGAAATCTGGCTAGATCACTCATTAAGAACAAAATATAACAATTTTAAACACTTATTTCTTTTTATAGATTTGCTATTTCAGCGTCATCTCGCATTTGAACGTTTTTGTATGATTGATTGTATTTTAACGTCCCTCTCGAGAATTTTTCACTCATATGGAGACACCACCACTTGCCGGTGGAGAGCTGCAAATTTTGTCCTATACTCGGCACTTAGGGCCATTGAGCAGTGAGGGATCTTTTTCGTGCCAGCACCTACTGCGACACGGGACCTCGGTTTATACGGTCTCATCCGAAGGACCGGTCTCCACGTCCCACAGTGGGATTCGAACCCGCAACGTAAGGATAAACTCCTTACTTCGCGACTCTAGAGCAGACGCTCTAACCACTGCGCCACGCGGGAGACCGTTTTTGTATGCATTTTACACAAACAAAATTTTTTAAAAAAAAATTGAAAGAAAGTTAAAAAACATCAATTATCAATTTTTCAAAAAAAAAAAAAAAATAAAAAAAATAAAAAAATAAAAATCGACGCTTCATTAATGCAATAACTACAGAACCTTAAGTACATTGTGCCGAAAAACACAGTGATATAAGATACATGCCTCTGATGCTTTTGATTTGAAATTGTAAGAGAGAAATATACATACAATGTATAAAGTTTCTTAAAAGGCTTTGTCAATTACATAATAGTATTTTTGTTGTAATGTCACTTGACATGATCACCTATATAATTCAACAAAAACAGCACAACAATTGCTTCAATGCAGATATTTAACACTTTTACATTCTGATAAATCATAAGAACAAAATTCTTTAGAAAAATAGAAAGAGATTTCTAATTGGAAAAAAGAAATAGTTGAATGAAGAGAAAGTCTTTGTTTGAAGACCTTAACGATAATAGAGTGAAACAGAACAATCACTATAAAGTCTTAAGCTTCCAACAGGGAACAGAAAACACTAGACATGATAATGTTATTGTTGCATACGTTGCTCGAAAATAGTGCTAATGATAATTGTTTTTGTACAGTTCATTCATTCCTCCAAGGTTGAAGTATACATGCATACACAAGATTATGCCATTCTTCAACCGTATTCTATTGTATATTTACATAATAAACTGTATTGCTTCTTACATACTTTATATATTTTATAAATATGTATAAGTTGTAGAATCTAGAAGTTCTCTGGGACTTCAGTGATTTTTCTTTTGTCTTCGTGGATGAAAACGAAGTCAGATATATTCTGTTCATAAATGTATGGATTAGATGTAAAGGATTTTCTTTATTGTTTTGCCGTCCGCCACAAAAAGTTTGTCACTTGTGTTTACGCAAATACCCCATGGCCTGGTCAAATAGCAGTTATTAATGAAACGGAGGAACTTTCCGTCTTGATTTAGGATATGGATACAACAATTTTTGCAGTCTGCAACTAGGATATGGCTTTGGCTGTCTGTTGTAATGCCAATTGGATCAAATGTTCTGTTCATAGGAAAAACAGACCGATGTCCAGTATATCTGAATCGAAGTTTACCGGCCTGGTTGACCACCACGACTCTGCTGTGAATATTTTCAGTCACACATATGTCGAAGTTTCTATTCTCACTAATATATTTAGCAGTTCCTGGCAAATAAAGAGCATTTCCTTCATCAAATTGAATTGACTGTATCTTTGTAGAACCAGAAAAACGAACCACTTTTGATTCATTAGCCCTGTCCATGGTAACTAGGAGTTCACCGAGATAGGTTTTGCAGATGCCCCAAATTTTCCACTGATCTACTCTGATCATTTCCCAAAGCCGGTCATTTTTCACTATGTTTACGGTTGTTTGATTCGGGTCAGTAAAAACTAAATCTCCATTCCGCGTAATTGTTATATCCTCTGGATCGCTCCCTTGCCCAGTCTGGAAAAGCTTAAGCAGTGAGCCCTGCAGGTTGTAAAGCTTTAAGATTCTGTCCTCCCCACTTGTCCATATTAGTTCATCACTGAGGCACGTAACACTGTATTGATTTTTTTGCAAAGGATACCCTGTGTCAATTGACGCCAAAAGTTGTGGTTGGCTCAACAAGGGTTTCACTGGAGGAGACAGTGAACCTTCTGGTTTTCTCATTATCCAGCCTCGGTCTTCTTCAGAGATGAATAAGGCTGATAATGAACCAAACTGTTGACGTAGCTGTTCTGTACTTGTCATTCGAGGACAAAAACTTGGCAAGGAGATTTTGAGTTTAGGTGGCAGTCTCCTAAACTCAGCATTTCTAGATTTGTACTCAAATGCAAGGGAGAAATCATTTGATTTCAGTATATTCTTTAATTCCAAAATGTTCTTTTGCAGGTGAGAAACAGTCTGTGTGATGCTGTCTTTCTCTTTATTTATAGCAGTTAGATGTTTGGTTTTCATCTCCTCGATGCTCGACTTTTCTTTATTGACAATGTTTTCGACTTCTTTGTGCCACTCTTCTCCTTGGGTGATGACAGCCGTTATCTGTTTCCCATAGTATTCCTCAAAGTCTGCTTCATCTTTATGTATGTCTGTGGCAATTTCTGTGTACTTTGGATAGATATTTTCCTCTAATTCTTTTAAGTCTTTTTCCAAATCTTCTTTCTTTGACGACAGTTTTTGTCGAACATCTACTAAATTGTGTCCTTTGTGCTTACCTGAAGATATGCAAGTAGAACACACAGTACTGTCACATATCTCACAGTAAAGTTCGCAACATTTATCGTCATGATGTGGACATTTGGGGTAGTTTAAGGTAGAACGTCTTTCACTATAAGGCACAACCCTGTGCTTTTTGGATGAATCCGACAGATGGTCTCCAACACAAGCCCTACAAAGGTTAATATGGCATAGCTCGCAATGACTTTGTAGTTCAGAATCACATAAGTCACAACGTAGAATATCTTGGGCACAATAACTTGTATCCATCACTAGTGTCTTTTTCGCTTGAGTGGATGACACTGATAGAGAGAATAGAATCCTGGTGAAATCTAGAAATTTGATTAATTGTCAGGCAAAAATGAATATTGTGAATGAACAGAAACTATGGACGTTTATTTGAAGGATAAGCTCTGGTTCTTTCAATTAAATTGATAATTGTGTTTAGTTACACTTTTCATCTCTATTAAATTAGGGAACAGGAAAGAATACAGCTTCCCGATAATTCAGAAAAAAAAAAAAAAAAAAAAACCAATGAATTAAATCCCTCAAAAAAATTTGAAATTCTGTAAAGGACTATTCATCAATTTGTATTTTCAGATATATATTAATTTAAACAATAAACACAATATTTTTTTTTCAGCAGAAACATTATCTTACTTTCGTTGTAAGTTCATTTGATAGACCCAAACTGTTCATTGATTATTTTGATATTTACTTTTGCCCATGTACTGTTCAAGAAATTGTTTATAAATGCTGTTTGTCTAATCTTTCTTAATGCTAGTCCATTAAAATTTTGTGTTCTCACATTTAATGGAAGATATTTATTAATTTATCTCAGCATATGATATAAGTTCATTTAATTTTTGTCTCCTTGGAATGAAAAAAAAATTTACTTTGCTGGAGCTAAAGTCAAACGTGTACCAGTTATATTCTCTTTTTTCAATATACATGTATTCATTATATTTTTTTAAATGGCGCTCACTTTAATTCTACATTTACTCGTGGTTACATGTAAGATAATTGATTCCAAATCTTGATAAAACCCAACCTTTTTTGCAATCCTGATTACACTAATCATGGACATAAAAAGTCAAAGCATTGAACTATGTATTATTATGCCCCCTATTTATGTACAAAATCAAGACCATAAATATAATATTTTGAAAGGATTTCGTGTATAATTCTATTTTTAGTTGTATGGATACACCATTCATCGAAATAAAACAAAACGGACGAACAAGAGGCCCATGGGCCACATCGCTCACCTGAGCACACTGGCACACTTTATGACTAATAATGGCTTTGTTGTTCTTGAGAAGATTTCAAAGATATTTCCTATTTAATGGTATGACCAGGTTCTTACAAGTGATATATAGATTTCCTTTTACTCTGTCTGAGTTAATGATTGGAATGATTATTAAGACAACTCTGTGTGAGGGTATATCACACAGTACTTAAATTTTCTCTTATCTAGAGATGGGGACTGGGTAAGGTACTACGTGTACCGTGTTTCTCCCCTAGGTTCTCATTGATAGATATGAACCAGTTGTCAATCTTTTTTAGATTTACTACACCCAGAGCTTAATATCAATTCCCTAGGATACTTGTCACTGGTGTTTATAATTTTTATACTTTTTACTCTTACCCTTAAGGTTTTCCATCCTCTATCCTTAAATGTCCATCACATATTTATTACTCTGATATTAAATTAAAGTATTTTAAAGTAGAAAAGTATTTACCAAGAGAAAGTATCAAAAATGTAATAAACTAAGCAGTGAATACTTAACAAAGGTTGCATTGAAGTTTATGGAGCAATTTTTCAAAATTAAAAATTCAAATAATAAGAATATCAATAAATACTGTAGTGGAAAAATGCACTACAATACATTAGAAATAGAATGACAATTGAAAAAAAGAGATTTTTTACCAGATAAGTTTTTTTTTTTTTAAATTGATTATTTTTATTAATTAAAAACAGAGGGATAGAACTCTTACCAAAATTCAAGGTCATAAATTAGGACACATCCTACCCTTGAATGCTAATAGTAAAGATGTGAATTATGTCTAAATTTACCGAGTATTCAACACCTACCATCTGTTATGTATTCAATTTCTATTAAAATGGAATACCTTAACTTCTTTATTGCTGATTTATCATCCAATTCTACAGCTACCTTCTGAATGCCTGACTTTCCCAAAGCTTTGCCTTATACACTCATGGCTGATCCATTATTCCATGGGTTGTCAGGTCATTCCACTATTTGAAGTCTTCAATGCTTTTACTCAAATGATCTATAACCATGACACCTATATATTCCTATGTAAACCTTGACCCTCTATTGTGGCTCCGCCCTACCCCCCAGGGGTCATGATATGCACAAACACAATCTACACTACCTGAGGATACTTCTGTATTAATATGTCTAATAATGGCTTAGCTGTTCTTGGCAAGAAGATTTTTAAAGTTTTACCTATATATTCCTATGGTAAACTTTAAACCCCCTCTCCCCGTTGTGGTTCTGCCCTACCCCCAGTGGTCTTGATTGGAACAAACTTGAATCTACACTACATGAGGATACTTCTGTAAAAATATGACTAATCATGACTTTGCTGTTCTCGAGAAGAAGATTTTTAAAGACATTTCTTATATATTTCTATGTTAAACTTTGACCCCCTCTTGTGGACCCGCCCTATCCCTGGGGGTTATGATATGAACAAATTTGAATCTAGGGTATGTAATTAAGCTTTCACATAAGTTTCATTTTTTTCTTGCCCAGTGGTTCTTGAGAAGAAGATTTTATAAGGATGCCACCAAATTTTCAAAAATACTTGAATTCTTAATCATCTTCCCTTGAAAGAGGGCGCGGCACTTCCTATGAACAAACTTGAAACCCCTTTGCCCAGCTATACTTTGTGGCAAGTTTGGTTGTAATTGACCCGGTGGTTCTTGTATGAGAAGAAGTCGAAGATGTGAAAAGTTAACAGACGACAGACTACGGACGACAGACGGACGCCAGACTCTTTGATCAAAAAAAAAGCTCACTTGAGCGTTCAGCTCAGGTGAGCTAAAAAGAAAGACAGAAAGATGGCTAGAAGATAAGAATTTAAAGAATGTTTAAGTTCTTAGTCATAAAAGCTAAGCAAAAGAAAAAAAACTTCATATTTTTACTTCCATTTGGATTTTTTTTTTAGTCACAACATTCCGTCCTTTGTAATCCTCATGTTTATGGGTTTAGTTTACGTTTTTAGAATGAAGATAAAACGTTTAAGACATTTTCAAAAAATGTATTATCTATACGTGTTTATGAAAGATCTATCTTATGTGGTTCATTTTATTCTTTTCAAACATTCATTTTTGAAGAATTTTTTAAAACGTTTCATTCTATATTTTAAATAAAAAGTCAGAAAACACGCCTGTTACAACGGAATTATCAAAATTGGCAGTTATTACCATTGAGCATCAGAAATATGACATGTTCATTTAGGAAAAAAAGAGTTCGCTATGAAGGTCATTAGTCTAAAAGTTTCTGCTTTCCTTACCTGTCACCTCAAAATGTCCGCCCTTATATATATCCTCATTCTGCTTTTTTAATGTCGTGACTTACGTCCTGATCATGTGATTAAAACCCTGTCGAAATTAGGTGGGATGGATTCAGATAACATTCTGTCTTTGTTCACATGTGACTCATGCATTGTTCACAATTGTATTAAATGTACTATTCCAAGTGCAGGAATGAATTCTAAGAATTATTAGAGAAAACTGGCATACAGCCAATTCATCAGTTCCTATAGAGAAACATCGTAGTTTTTCATTTCATTGTTATCTAAAGCTTGAGATTCAACAAATTATTTACGGCTGGGATTAAAATTTTGCATGATTTACCCGTGATTCTCCTTTCATTTGAATGAGTTTTGTTCTACTGTCCTTCCTTTGCTAACTATTATCTTAGTCAAAAGACTAAAGAAATTGGATCAAAAACTATATCTTGATCGGGTAATGGCATTTAAGTCGAGTTTAGGGTTTTATTTAGCATGTGGTATCAAATTATGCACAGCATTCACGGCAACCTGAAATAAACAGTTAAATCTAGCATTTTTGTTGAAAGTTGTCACATAATGTCTAGAAAATTTATGAACACAGGTCATAGTCAAAAGTAGCTTTTTATTCTCAACTGAGTCTATAGATATTGTTTGAGAACACTTTGTTATAAATATATATTAAAAACATTAGATTATGTTGACACTTTAGATAGTGTTATATTCAAGACTTTTGTATATACTATTACAGTTATAACTTGCAGTCATCACTTTCGAATGTACCTACTGAGTATTTGACTTTGCTATAAAAAGAAAGAAACCCTGTCCCTAATTTACGAGGAAAAAAAACAGACTAGTGGGAACACTGACCATGGTTTAGCATTAAAACAGAAAAAAAATACATGTAATTGTCATTTTTATCAGCAAGTTTCTTGAAACGTGATATCATATCGGGACACAACAGTATTTTTAATGGAAAAGATAAAATATGCACATTATTCTTTACTGTGTGCTCTTTTACGGAAAGGAAATTCATTAATTTTTCTTTGCACAAAAACTTTCATTAAGACTTTTCATATAGCTACAAATTCACTTATGTAAGCTACCTGGAGACACTTTTTTTAATTACAAGTGAACTGTAAGTTTCTTTTTCTTAAATGCCAAAACCATCAAGCCGATCAAATTACTGATAACAAAGCTTTGAACAAAAAATAAACATAATGAGGATGGATCAGTTGCAATGTAGGGTAACTAAGGCAACTTATTTTATATAAACAGTTTTATTACTTTACATTTTGAAAAAAATGTATTTTGTGGCCTCCTTCCATATTCTTTAATGATAAACTAATATATTTACATGCACAGGTAGGTAAGCCTTTGCATTTTCAACATCTGTTCTCTTACACAAAAAATAGTTGGTTTAATATTTTAAAATATAAATTACAACCCCTATTGTTCTCCGCATACCAAGAAAAGAAAACATAAGATGAAGTTATGAATACATTAGAATCTATACAAATGTTGACAAATTCACTTCATAATGTACAAAGAGCTCAAATTCCGTATTACTTATCTGCATGTAATATCACTGCTTGTAAATAATATTCCATGAGTGTAGAATCTCCAACCTTCCCAACCATCGTTTGTAGGAATTAATATATTAACATAGCTAGGGCCAATATCTTAAACTGAATAGATTCTATAACAAACCACCAAAAGATTGTTTATCA